TAAAATCTTGTTTTTTATTATTTTTTTATTTCGATTTAGGAGAATCTATGCGGTTCAACTCGGAGTGGACCTGTCAACGAAAATTTTAAAGGACATAATATATCATCGCACACAATTTTTCTCGAGAGAGATATAAATTTTTATGAATACTCGCGAAAATCTTAACTTGAAAGTAACCGGAAACTATTATTAACTTCGTTATCTATTCATTTTCAATTATGGAATTACACACGAGTGGATTCTTCAAGTTTTTCTCCGCTCCCGAAATTCGCGCTTTTTTTTTTTATAGTTTAGATCGGCTGCACGAGCGTGTGTCGCAATTAATATCTCATTCTGTCTCAATGCAACGCACGTCGATTGACGCCGCGGAATTAATTGATATTTGAAAGTTCGGTGAAAGTGTGTGACCACTCTAAATCATGCATGCCGATCGCCATGCCGTTAAAGAGACATTTAAAGCACGTACGTGCATAGTAAAGCCAGATTCCCATATACTACACAAGCGGGCGAGCGTATATACAAGCGGGAAACAACAACTCGCTTCAATGAACGCGCAAACGGTTGCGCTGTCACCGTGTTGGCAGTGACGTTCATTCGTGTTTGTTCGCGCTCGCTTAGTCCGGCCAAACGATATATCAGAAAACGAGTTGACGACGACGTCGAAAAAAAAAAGGCGGAGACCGATCGCGGGATTCCTGACGCGGTGGTGTGTTGCACAGCGCGCGGTGACGGCGCGCGTTTTTCGCGATTACGTTCACCCGGTCTCGGCGACACGCGATCCGGACCACCTTCGGTCACGGCTCATTTCGTCGCGCGTTAACGCAACAAGCTCGACCGGCGTGGCCGAGCGTCGATGTATCCTGTCGTCTCGTGCAGGAAGCGGCTCCGGATACACGGGCGCCCAGGACTCGTCCAGGACGTGTCTGGACATCGAGCGGCTTGCTAATGCAAGCCCGGAGCGCGGCGCGGAAAATGAGCGTATGCATATGCGCCGCGGTGCACGCCGCCGAGAAAATCGAGAGACGGCTCTTGCGGCGGTAGGTATTTAATTGAAGTGGCGTACGTAAAAGAAAAAAAAATGAGTATCCGTGCGAAATTTACTGCCGTGGGTAACAGGCGTCGCTCAACTCGTTCCCCGCGACGCAATGACGTATAGGAGGTGAAAAAAGAAGGGTAACATTAAAAGTATCTGCCGGTGCGGCTGTGGCGAGATGGGATGCAGACATCGGAGAATTGACTCTTACGGAAAGACGTAAGAAATGAAGGTAAACGCAGAGAATATACGCGGAAAAGTTTTTGAGAAAGGAAAGGTACGTCGCTCGTTCGCGTTATACATACATAGGAAAAGTCCTTCCTCGCGAAATGTCGAATCGCACTTTGAATGGAAAAATGTTTTTTATCGTGTGATCTCTCGTTTAAAATCGCGGCTTTGAAAGTCGCGGATTTGAAAATCGGTACGATTCTTCTATGAGCAAGACTAATTACCTTAATATTAGGTTTAGATCTAGCTCGAGATCTAATCTAGGACAATTCAATAATGACAATGAAATTTTTTATGTGAGAATAAAGCTATAATAATTGCGGAATTTAGTGCGATGCGAAAATAGTGCGAACCAATTCTTCGTAGAAAATTATATAAGTTTCGAATTTTAACAGACGAAAAACAAGACTGACGATAACGATTGCATGGTCCAGCATCCAAAAAAGTAAAAGTTGTATAGAAATCGTTATAGAATTTTTTTAGAAAGGAAATTACACTTTTAATATTGTTCACAAAAAAATATGGCGGATTTTACCAATTATTATCTTTTTCGTATTTCCAATGATATTCACATATACAATGCGATTTTTAGTGACAGTCGAAAATTCAACGTTAACTTTAATTCAACATTAGCGTTTCGTCTTTGTTTGGCAATTCATTAAGATTGCAAATTCTTCGCACTATTTCAGCTTTTCGAAATAAATTCTATTTTCTGTCATTCAATTTACCTATGACAATATATCGCCGAGCAACAGAGCGTTGGTTAAACCGCAATGACGCGACGAATAAATAGATAATTATAATGCATGAACGACTGTACTCACCATCCTCCGCACCGGCGGCGCGCCAACTGCTGCTCCCTCGATCTAGCCCATCCACTCGGCCCGCCGATCGATTGGAAAAAAAACCCCGCGGCTAATTACCGCCACGCACGTCGATTAATAACGCGACACGATTCGCCCGCGTGGCACTTGACTCGGCGGCGGCACTCCCGACGGCCGCTGCATTCACGCACGTACACGCACGTTTAACTTCCAGCATGTCGGAAAATACGCTGCGACACTTTCGCGCCGATGATCGAGTGCGTTGGATTTAAGAAAATCTGAACCGCGCATCCATCATACGCGTATATATGCACAAAGCTGTCTTAATGTATAATGATCAAACGCGACGCGCACACACGTGCGGCTCTTAATTCGCTTTACGCAAGGTACGCCTCACTTGGCACTCCCGCGCGCATTCCGGTACGTCAAGTGCTCACGGCACACCGACACGTGCGATCGTCGCGGATCGCAGCCGAGAGACGCGCACGTCGATTTAACGCGGACGTTTGTTCGATACCCCGGGTACGACGCTGTCGAAACGTGAGCGAGGGCGAATGTAACGCGCATTTTTTCGCAAAAAAAAAAAACGAGCGCGGTAGTCACGGGGGCTAATGTCACGATGACTCTGCCTTCCGTCGCGATCTCGCCGGAACGAGACACCGTGCGCGCGACACGTTCAACAGCGAGATATCAACAACTTGCGCGTGTTTACATGCCGGCGATCCTTTTCAGGATGCTTGAGATAAGAATGATAGAAAAAAGATAGAGAAAGAGAGATGAATCGTCGCAAAGAAATGCCTCTGCGTTACACGGTCACGTGTATATTGTCATAATTATAACACAGTGATATGTTATATGTTACGCGTGCTTCATGTGAAATCGAATATAATATTGTACTAAAATATCTGTAAAATAATATTGAGAATATCAAAACGATTAATATTGTATCTCGATATTAGTTAAATTTGTCTATTAGAAGACTAGCATATTTTTAGAATTAAAGAGATGTTTCTTTCCCAATATATATAATTAATTTATATATATAATAATTGTGTGCTATAATAGTGTGTATATAATTAATTGTCGATTTTAAATCGTAGATAACCGAAAGTTTTCAGTGTATAAAATTATTGTTAGACTATATTTATCGTTATGTTACTGGTTAATATGGTTTTATTCCTTTTTCGGTTTCGCAACCCGCGAGAAAAATCCTTAAAATTATTGCTTTCTTTTCAATTAAATATATAATGAATACAATCTGTTCATCAAATAGTCTCTACTTTTTCGTTAAATATACAAGACTTTATATTAGATTCTAATTTTACGTCTATTTTATTCGTTTTATGATTACATACTTTTTTAATTCTTTTCAAGTGCAATTATTACTAATTCAAATTTATGTTTTTTCACTTTATAAAACAAGTTCAATGACATCGATAAAAGTATTCATAGGAGAACAGTTCAAAAGATCCGATAAATATTTTTCGATATATTACAAAGCATATTATGTAATTATAAAAAAGCTTCCATTATAGATACTAATTTAAATTAATCGCAGAAGCTAATTTTATATTTATTAAAGTTTAATAAATTAAATTAGGAATGCAGAACTTTTCATAATTGAGACTTTAAATTAGGAATAAAGTCGAAAGCAATGTATATTAAATCTTCGAGACAAAAATCCAGAATAATTTTATAAATTTTTCAAGTTTATCAATCAAAAAGACGATTTTCATCGTATTTTAATATTATAAATACTCTTCTTTTTAACAAATCTATTTATAACAAGCTTAACAATATTAAACAGCTTTCGTATATCCTGTCTATTGTTGCGGATTTCACTGTTATATATTTGTATTTATTACACCAGAGAAGAAACTTTTTCTAAAAAATCTATTGCGTGCTGTCATCTAACGGCATATCATATACATCGAATTTTGCATTGCATGCAGTCGATAATTTGAGCGTGTTGATATTACTCTTTTATCTAATGAAAGCGTGACATTATCTTCTGCCGCGCATTGACTTCTTTACCGATATGTAATAATAACTACGAGGCTATATGTTATCAACTGCAGTGTCATTGCACTTATCGACGAGAACCGTAGAGACGCGACAATACGAAATCGTCGCGATTGAGAAAATGGCGTATGGGACAAGAGAATTCATATCGGAATAAATCTGAAAAATATGTCTTTTTACGCAATTTCTCAGATATGAATATATACCCGCGTTCAGATATTGCGCGTTTGCACTCGCACGAGAAACCTAATTGTTATACCAAGAAATGTATCGTGTATATTGATATTAAATTATTATACGTTTGAATTGGTATAATAATGGTACGGAAATTGTAAAATTTTTAGTCCCGTAAAAATTACATGTACATAAATTGATCTAATATATTACATAAAATATTAACTATATATAATTTAATATACGCGCGCCCTTATAAAAGGCAAATGTTTCATTCTCCAAATTGCCTCTTCTCTCGCTTTCTCTCTCTCTCTCTCTCTATCATTCTTTCCCGAGTCTCGAAGAGAGATGCCATTACGCGACCACACGCAAGCGCCGAAAAGGAGCGAGACTGGAGCGAACTCACCGACGCCGTCGCGCGTACGCGACCGCCCACGTCCATCTCCGCGTCTTCCGAGGTCATGGCCCTTCGCGATTACACTACCGCGTGCGTCCCTCGGGCGTTAATTCGTGCTCGCGAGCTGTCGAGTCGCCGGCGCCCGCGCTCGTCTTTTCCGTGCCCGTGGAAGAACTACTCGCACGCACGCTCGCGGCCAGAGAGAAGCATCAAGCGGCGCTCGCAACATTCGAACCCGGCCGGCGTCCGGCGCGAACTTAGCCGCGTCACGTGACTCCGGAGCGGAGTTGCGCAACGCCGCCGCTCGCCGGCGTTACGTCACATGCTCCGAAATCAAACAAGTACTTCACGCCGTACGGTCGTGTGTGCGTGCACGCGCGGCGCGAGCTAACCTATCCTCTCCCCCTCTCGTTCGTATCTAGCGACGGTGCCGACCGACGATGTCGATTTAAAAGGACGAACCACCACCAACAGTCGTGTGGCGAACGTCCAGTCCCCCGCCGCGGCGGAACGCGACATGTCAACGCGCGAGCGTGTCTGCCCGCTGATTGAGAGACGTTGACCCGCGTCACATTGCCACGCGAGGATGTTCGTCGTCGACCCGTCATCGCGCCTCGCACCGCAAACTTGATATCTATTTCGAGTCGTACGGCAATGCGTTAATCGTTTATTTATAAACGTCGCCGCGCCGCGCTTCTCCAGCCCGACGTTCACCCCCGTGGCCTTCCGCGCGCTCTCGTATTTTTGCCCGTATTTAAAATTATGTGTTGAGCTTTATTGTCCCCTCTGTCACTCTGCCCTCTCTCACCTTCGTGCCCTTGCGAATTATGGACGAGGTCTGGTTTCACCTCTCGAATCAGCTCGAAACGTTGCAGGTAATCGGATTTCCCTCTCGTCTTTCCGCGCCGGCTCCAACGAGTGTGCTTTATATAATATTTATAGTTAGGATTTTTTAATTAATCCAAGTAAGACATTCCATCGTTCTGCAATTATTGCCTTCGTTAGCAAATTTCGCGTCACGTGAGTCTAATCTACATAACTTGCATGATTTCAATGTATAGATGCTATCTAAATGTTTGTAAGATATAAATTACATAAGTTCTTAATTTTCTTTCGAATTGAAAGATAAATGTTTTAGTGTATTGCTGTTAGTATTATATGAACTGTGCAAATAGTTCAATATATATTATGTAATATTTTGGTGTTCCAAACTTAATATGTATGTGCGAATCACTTTGCATAAAACATAATTATTATATATAGAAATCTCAGTATACTACAGAAAAAAATTTGGGGGAAGGTTCAAGCGTCGATGGCGGCGCAACAGGGACAGCAGTGGTGTGCAGAATGGCTAGCCCAGTTACGTCAATTTATCCTGCAGCTTTGCAACGAGCAGCACGCCCAGCAGGTCAAAGACGCCATGCTGCGCGTGGCTGCTTCCGTACAAAGAGGCTGGCAAGAGGTGCAATTTCAGTATTACAGTACACAATGGAGTACGATAGATTTTTATCGCCAATTAGGAACCTTGTGTGCTAACAAAGGTATGTTGAATATTCAAAAATGTCTTGACAAATATTTCTCTGTATCTGCTTGATTTTTATCAAACATAAGTTTGTTTACATTCTGTCCAGTGTCAAGAAGAGAAGCAATGTTTTGCCTGACAGGCCTGGTGGTAGGAACTGTAACGGGCTACTACATCGGCATAAATTGGAAACCCGCCTCTCGACATGTGCATCACATAAAAACTATCGCTTGCCATCATTATTATGGTATCGAGGTATATCATATATCTAACATATCCCGTCACAGCTTTGAATGTAAATGTAGACATTATGTCTTACTGTCGCTACAGGGTGTGCTACTCATAGACGATGCCGAAATGCCAACGATTAAGAGATCGAACGAATTACTTATACAAGTCAAGGCCGCGTCACTTAATGTTATCGATACAAAGATATGCTCCGGTTATTCTAGGATTTATAGGAGATTACTTAACTCAGGAGTAAGTAGACTTTCTTCAAGAACCCACCGATATCCGATTATCAACGCGATATCGTATTGTACATAAATATGCACGAATCTATGTATTTAGAAACAGAAAGAACTACCGGTAACTCTCGGGAGGGATTGCGCGGGGGTGATAGTCGACATTGGGCAAGGCGTTATCAATTTCGATATCGGAGACGAAGTATTCTTGGCCGTTCCATCGTGGGCTTCTGGCACGATAGCGGAATATATAATTGTTCCAGAGACGCAAGTAGCAAGACGGCCTAAATCGTGTAACTTCGAAGCCTCCGCCAGCCTGCCATACAATGGTTGCCTGGCATGGGACGCTCTAGTTAATAGATCTGTCATCAAGGAGGGCAACGCCAAAGGAAAACGGTAATGCTCTCGATACTTTCTTAACTCGCCGTGTGTCTGAAATGTCAATTAAATGCAATTTAATATTATCGCTGTAGAGTCCTCATTTTCGGCGGGAGCACTCCGATCGGTTGTATTTTGACGCAGTTAATTAAGTTGTGGGGTGGATACGTAGTAACCGCCTGCCGAACGGACGCCGTGCCTGTAACGAAGGCATTGGGTGCCGACGAAGTTATAGTAATAAACGAAACCGACGTCGAGAAGGAACTAGAATTGCACGACAAGTACGAAATAGTTCTTATCATAAGATTTATTATAATAAATTTAAAGTTATTTTATTTATTTTATTTAAATAAAGGAATAGAAAGTAACGTTCCTTTGAGTAATATTGGGCTTACTTCATTACAGATACGATGCGATTTTTTATACTGATAATCAACCTTTCCAAGAACACATTTTAAAGAAACACTTATTACCTCATGGCTCCTACGTGTCGACCGTGCCTGAGCAATTGACGTCGGACTCGCTGGGATTTATTTGCGGAACTATATTTGCCGGGTGTGTTAGAATAAAATTATTGGTTCAGGTATTGTGATTCGTGCCAGTTCAATAACAAGTCACTGATTGCGATTGATGTACTACCGACTGATAACTTTTAAATTGTAGTATATGTTCGGATTTAACATGCATCAGTGGAAGGAAGGGGCGAGGTTGAACGTCGCGTATTTGCGGGCGCTGTGCGAGCTGACGGATGCGAATCAATTGCAAACGGTTGTGGACAGGGTCTACGCGCCATACAATATCGAGCGAGCGTTGCTCCACGTCTTAGATCCGAATTCTATTGGTAGTACAATTATAACGTTTCAGTGACGTATCATTTGAAGGAATTTATATCGCGACTGTATATAACGGTATATAACTCTTGTACATAGCAGTGTATAATTCTGGCGGATAATCACTGCCGTATCACTGTTAATAAATATTTACATTGCAAACTAAGAAATGTAGTAGTTCAAACGTACTTGGTACTGAAATAAAGACTGACGTGATATAATTAGTAGCTCAGACACACAACACATCTTCGTCCTTTTCTAAATTCTTTTCAAGTTATATTAATAAGAAATAAAATACATGATGAAGATATACAATGACAATAAATGTGATGATCACATGCGCGAATCTAATTAATATAACAATGTAGATTTTTTATTTAAAAAATGTGATTATACGACTATTATTGTTGAATACTTGCTAATGGAATTTATAAGAATATATATTGTACACGAATATTGTATATATTTTGCGAAATAAATAGAAAAAGTTATACTATGTTTGTCAATCGAAACCGCAATCAGTGTAGAAATTTATAAAATAAACGCGCGACACGTGTATAAGACGCTACGTCGAGATGGCATTTCATGCAAGATATAAGTACACTATTAGCATTATTATACATCCTTCTCAAATTTATAAAATTACTCTCACTTTGCTTTACCGCGAAATTTGCTGTTACCTGTCTTCGCTTTCTTAGCCGATGGCTTTTTTTCTTCTGCCTATGTGTGTAAAGAGAAAATATCTCGTTTAATTTATAAATTTAGAACAATTAATATTATAAAAAATGATTCGTTCGAAAGATATCTCACCTTCCGCTTTGGAGTCGGATTCGAGTTCGGTAAAACCTTGAAGAACGAATCCAATCGGCCTTGCGTGGACGTGTTTCGAGCCTTGTGAAGCTTCTTAGCCCCGTTTCTAACCCGTTCCTCATTAAACTGTTTGTCGCCGCATAAAAACTTCACCAAACCTTCTTCGTCTGGCTCGGACCATTTTAACTTGCGAGATAAAAGAATATTTAATACGTGTGATTTACGTGGAGAAAAATTACTCAAAGTAACAGAAAATTACCTGGATGTCATCTGGATTCGACACTTCTGGTTCTTGAAACAATAATCTTGCATCCTTGTAATTCCAATCTTCCGGTATGGAATACTTCTTGGCATCTATATGCTCAACGATTTTTTCGAGAGACCTATGATTTTTTATCAATTCTATTGCTCTTTTTGGACCGACGCCTTTGATACTATTTGTATAATCGCAACCCAACATAATGCAGAGGTCGATGAACTGTAAATTATACGTTATCTCAGAATAATCGACAAATTAATATTGATATTATTAAATAGGAGCAATTCGTTTAAACGCATACCTCATCGTGATTCAGCTCTAAACCTGCAAGAACTTTATCGAAATGAATCTCCTGTACGGGCAACTTCCTGGCCTCGCTGAAGGTCAAGCGTCGAAGTAGCACGTTGCAGCCAAAAGTGAGCGCGTCCATATCCTCCGTGGCAGTGGCGAAGACTTTACCAGCTTTCACTAAAGCGGCACATTGTGCTTCAGCCTCGCAAGGAGCCTGTACAGAAAAACATCAATTTGTAAAAAGGAATAAAATAAAGAAATCGCGATTTCACACAAAAATGTCTTACATCAATATAAGGTATGCCCATTAACTGAAGTAATTCCTTAGCTTCGTCAGCGTGAGTTTTCGTAACTTTAACCAATCTCCTGTTAAACTTGTCTATCGCTTCCACGTTTCCTTTAATAAAAAAAAAGGCATTTGCCATGAAAGTTCTTTCGTGATCTTATATAGAACGTAATAAATTATTCTGGATATTCTGGTATTATTACAGCAATATAAACCAAGATACATAATTTGTCATTACCATCTTCCTCGGCAGCCTGCAACTGTTTCTGTGCCTCATCCCTTCTTTCAGCTCTTTTAGCCAATTCTCCACTTTTCAGATTTGGCGGTTTCCCATCGAATACATACACGGGCTTGATTCCTTGCTCCACCAAGCGTATGGTACGATAAAACGTACCCATTAAATGGCTATGTAACAGAATTTACATAGCTGATTAGTTCTCAACATAATCTTTTGTAAGCCAATCGCTTCTTAATGTAATCTTTTCTATTATTTGGTAAAAATCTGTTATTTTGTTTTTGTCTGTTATCTGTTTTTTGTAAAAATATAATTTAGGATAAAAGATTGTTTGTACAATTAAAATAAATATACCTGGTTGTTTCGCCATCCACGGTAGTGAGCTGGGCACCTTCGCTCCGCACAGCTATGAGGAACTGATACAAGCACATAGACGCATCAACAGCTATCTTGCGACCTGAAGACGGAAATAATATTAGACGTTAATAATATATTGTAACTGATTGATTCGATAATCGATCATAAACACGAAGATGTGACGCGATTATAAAATTTTATCTAAGATGTGTGACTCGTCGTTACTGCAGTTCTTGGTTAGAAGCAAAATTAAACGTAAGATAGGCAATAACCACGTACCGAAGTAGTGCTTCAGTTCTCGCTCTTTGATAGCTTCCGGAGCTACGTCCGCTATTAGCTTCGACAAGCCTAGAATACCCATGTCGGCGAAATGTTTATATCACGCACGTAGGAAATGCCGATGATGCCGTCACACAGCAGACATTTTCTGGGGAGCTCCGCTCTCCGCTTCCCGCCAATTTCTACAACACGGAGCGCAACCGCGCACGATATTGCCAATCGCTAAACAGGAGCATGAGTTGGCAACCACGAAGAACGCTCTGTTTCAGCAGCTACTTCACACATGTTCCTAAGCAACTTCGTTAGCCTTTATTTTTCGTACGATATATGAAACGATATATTTTTTAAAATTATTTCTGCAAATTATCTCTGTGATTATTCTCACGCTTATTGCGAAAAAGCAACGGCGTACGCGAGTCGAAACTTATTGAAAAATATTTCCTCGCGTCGACGCTCATGTACGCATGCCGTGTGCGCGTCCACGTGGTGGCTAACCTCCAAGTGGCACTGTCGTGGTGGTTAACCTCCAAATAGTCCGAAGTGGACTCCGCAGATTTCCGTCACCGGTGTTTTATTATTTTGTTATTTAGGCAATAAGAAATGACGAGTAACTGCGATTTGCTGCAGACGATCGAGGATGATCAGGAGGTGCCGGATTATTCGGAGAATTCCGACGAGGAGGACGATGTAAGCTTGTGCTTTCGGCTGAGGAACGAAAGCTTGTAATCAAAACAATGCAAACTAGGGTAACTATCCGTATGTGTGCCTGTACGTTTTAATATTCTTTTATATTTAAATAAGTCATAAAAATAAACTGGTACACTTTGTCTATTTATTTGTACCAGTTTATTTTTATGACTTATTTAAATATAAAAGCACATTAAAACGTACTGGCACACTAATAGGGACAGTTATCCTATTGGTATTAAAAATATCTTATAGAATTATTTCATAGAATGTAACATTAAACGTCAATAATGTTGTACTGCGGTTCTTGGTTAAAAGCAAAATTAAAGATAGGCAATAACCATAACGTACCAATAATGTACCGAAATATAATGCTTTAGTTCTCACTCTTTGTCTTTTTCTTTGTGAATATATCTTTGTTTTATATCTCGGACGTTAATATTTTTTCTTTCAAATTCCGTGTTTCAGTATCAACCGCGCAAGCAGAAGAAAAAAGAGAACAAGGACTTTGACAGTGGTTTCCAATTCACTGCCGCCGAGCACAATCTGGATCCTTGGAATGACCTGAGCAAGTATATTAAACGCAAACCGAACACGAAATTAGATGACAAGATCAAAAAAATCAGGAAGGAACATGAGCAGGTATGTGGTATCATTATCTGTATTGTTTCTAAGTGATAATGGCGTTATAATAAATATGTGATACTTTATGAAATATTTATTGTTAAAATTGTAATGAAATTACGAAAAAGAATTTGTCTTTATAATTGCTAGGCTGGAACGGAGAGTGATCCTATTAAAATTGAACCAGAAACTGGTCAGGATGATGATACGATTTCTCTGTCTGAGGATGAGCTTAAAAAAGGTAGATATAATTAATTTTATTTACTAGCCAAACAAATTAAAAATTATGATTTTAATGGATTCATATTTGCCCACACATACTCGAATGTAACAAGAAATATATATTGATTATATCATATTTACATTTTATATACCTTTGTAGCAACGTAAAGACTTATCTCACTTATTGATTAATTGTAGATGTCTTTAAAACCAAGGAAAAGAAAGGCAAAATGAAAAAGGTGAAAGAAAAGAATGAAGAAAAAACTATTGACTTTGAAGAATATACAGATTCTCAAACATATACTACGTTTTATCAAATGAACTTGTCTAGGCCTTTGCTAAAGGTATGCAACATCATTTCGATTATTTAATAAAGTAATAATTAATAATGAAATAGTGTACATATGGAACAATGCATTAATATGCGATA